ATCAGGAAGCAGAGACCATCTGGGAGGGGATAGAGCAGCCATCCTGCAGAAGCCCCCAGTACAAATGACTCCTCCTGCTCCATTGGACTTGCCCGACTTACTCTCATATGTCCAAGCCTTTGGACCCAGCATCCCTGCTTCCTAACCTGCGGCAGCACAGATGTGGTCTCTGAGATCAGCATCCCTGCTTCCTAACCTGCGGCAGCACAGATGTGGTCTCTGAGATCAGCATCCCTGCTTCCTAACCTGCGGCAGCACAGATGTGGTCTCTGAGATCAGCATCCCTGCTTCCTAACCTGCGGCAGCACAGATGTGGTCTCTGAGATCAGCATCCCTGCTTCCTAACCTGCGGCAGCACAGATGTGGTCTCTGAGATCAGCATCCCTGCTTCCTAACCTGCTGCAGCACAGATGTGGTCTCTGAGATCAGCATCCCTGCTTCCTAACCTGCTGCAGCACAGATGTGGTCTCTGAGTACTCTCGCTAGTTTTTTGTTTTTTGGGGGACAAGGGTGAAACAGGGTTTCTCTGTGTAGCTTTAGAGCCTGTTTAGCCAAATTTTATCTTTTTAAAATCTGCCAACTTTTAGGTTTGGTGGTCATAGTGACACATGCCTTTAATCTCAGCACTTGGGAGGCAGAGACAGGCAGATCTCTGTGAGTTCAAAGCCAGTCTGGGCTATAGAGGAAGTTACAGTACAACAAAGGCTAACAGAGAAACCCTGTATTGAATAAACAAATAAATAAATAAATTTGTTTTCATTTAAATCTGCCAATTTTATATTTGACTCTAGTCTCCAGTGATATGTCTGAAGTAGCTGTTTTGACCTAAAAATAACTGAAAACCCTTCAGCAAGATGTGTCTGTGTGACCAAAGGCTGGCTTCATAAGTCTCTGACATCTGTCACAGCCTAGTGTGGTCTGAGCAGCACTGTGTAACAGAAACTAAATATTCACCTGGAGGAAATGGAAGTATCTAATCTTTTAAGGGTAAGCTAGAGCCGGAAGGCAGAGAGTGGCATTTGGGCTGAACAAACAGAAAGGTGGGGAAGTGGGGGTGTTCAGTATTGGTTTTGTTTGTTTGCTTGCTTGTTCTTTGAGACAGGGTTTCTCTGTAGCTTTGAAGCCTGTCCCAGAACTAGCTCTTGTAGACCAGGCTGGCCTCGAACTCACAGAGATCCTCCTACCTCTGTCCCTGAGTGCTGGGATTAAAGGTGTGTGCCACCACTGCCCAGCTTTGGCCATGGTTTTTATCACAGCAGTAGAAATCAAACTAAGATGGGGGCATGGACAGTCAGGAGCGATGTGTGCAGGGGTGTGCCATGTGAGTGACAGTCAGGAGCGATGTGTGCTGGGGTGTGTCATGTGAGTGATAGGAGCGATGTGTGCAGGGGTGTGTCATGTGAGTGATAGGAGCGATGTGTGCAGGGGTGTGTCATGTGAGTGATAGGAGCGATGTGTGCAGGGGTGTGTCATGTGAGTGATAGGAGCGATGTGTGCAGGGGTGTGTCATGTGAGTGACAGGAGCGATGTGTGCAGGGGTGTGCCATGTGAGTGACAGTCAGGAGCGATGTGTGCTGGGGTGTGTCATGTGAGTGATAGGAGCGATGTGTGCAGGGGTGTGTCATGTGAGTGGCAGCACAATCAAAAGCTAGCATCTGGGGGCTGAAGAGATGGCCAGCAAGGTTAAGAGCACTTGATGCTCTTGCAGAAGAGCTGACTTTGGTTCCCAGAACCCACGTGACATGTCACAAGCACTCATAACCCTAGTCCCAAGGGTCTGACACCCTCTTCTGGTCTCTGCTGGCACCAGGCACACAAATGGTACACATACACACACACAGGCATAACAAAACAACAACACCTGCCAGCAGAGGTGTGTGCTTATGCGCTCAGCTCTGGTCTGTGTGTATTTAAAATACAGAGTTATTTTAAAGAGGATGCTCAGGTGGAGAGAGGTGAAATAGTTGCTCTGGGCAGCACAGTGTATGAGGTTTGATCCCAGAGTCCAGTTCCAGCCAAGCCTGTGCTCTTTGCTATGTGTGATAAAGCCAGTGAGCCTGGCTCAGATCAAGAAAGGGCTTGTGAGCTGAACAGTATCTATGGTAATGAGAGTATCTGAAGGTTTCTGGGTAGAAGAGACAAGATCAAGAGAGCCATCCTAAAAAGTCTGTATGGCCAGGTATGAAAGAAAAAAAAAAAAGAAAGATTGTCATCCAGCATGGTGGCACACACCTTTAATCCCAGCATTCAGGAGACAGGTAGGCAGATCTCTGAGTTTGAGGTTAGCCTGATCTAGATAGCAAGCTGCAGGATATCCAGGGCTACATAAAGAGACCCTGTCTCAAAAGAGAGAGTGGTGGAGGGGAAAGAGAAAGAGAAAATGTGTCTTGGAGCAGGGGGAGTGGTAGCGTAGGGAGAAAGACCAAGTAGGAAGCTCCTGAATATTCAAGACATGGAGTACCACAACCTTGGATTGACAAGGACAACGGAAGTGACAAGAATGCTGTGAAGGAAGTTAGCAGAGACTAGTGTTTGGGAATCTAAGAACAGGAGGAGGCACCAGACATGACTCAGGGTCTGGGTTTGGGTGGTTGAAAGAAAACCGAAGCCATGAGCGGAAAAGCGGTGATGGGAGGGAGACGGGCTGCACTTCATGCATGGTCACCCAGAGATGATGACAGATATCCCCATGAGAAGTCTGGTAGGCTATGAAAACAGAGTTCAAGTCTAGAAGAGAGGACAGGGGAGGGGGTGACATCCAGAGAGAGGAGACTCGTGTACATAGAAGTGACACTGACCCCAAGAATGTGGGCAAATTTGTTGTGAGCGGAGACAGCACTTAGGAAAATTCTCTTTAGAGGGAGGTGAAAGAAAACCCAGCCACCCAGAAGGAAAGTCTACGAATGACGTGCAACGTCACCAAGACTGACCCAGCAGTCAGCTGAGGGCAGGGGCCGTCAGGAAGAACATTCAGAAGAATCCCAGACTCGAGCTCCACATTTCCCCCTCCTCTCTTCTTGCTCTGTACTTCGATGCCATGGCCATGATGAAGGCCACACTGACCCTCGGGGACCACGCTGACTTGTTCTCACTGATCCACCCTCAGACCATGCTGCCAGCCAGGGCCAGCCTGACGGGAGGACCCACAGAGGCTGCCTGAACACCACACAGATGAGCCCACAGTGAGGCTCCAGGGGTTTGTAGACCATGGGCTAGGTCAGTCCTAGGCCCTTCTTGGGTCCAAGTTTGGCTCTTTGTAATCTGAAGGAAAAGGCCTCCGGGTCTAACTTTGAGGCTATCTCAGACTCTACACTATGAGGTGCTGATGCTCCTCCTCCTGCTGGCTCCAGACCTTCCTGCTCCCTGTGGTGGCCTCTTTGTGTTTGTTAAGGCACGGTCACCTTAGGACAACAACCCCTGCATTGTCCTCACTGCCAAAGGGGGTTTGATCTTTGCCCACCCACCCAGGGTCAGTTCTACAGCCGACAACCTTCCCACTGCGTGTTCACATTGAAAGACCCTCAGAGAGGACCAGAACCAGGACACTCCGAGACCAAACCACAGGATGCAATTAGCAAGAGGTTTATTGAGTAGACACAGGTACCTGCGGGCGGCAAGATCTCTTGGAAGACTTGCGTGCCTGCCAACTGGAGGGCGGGCTTTTTATAGGGAAGAGCAAAAAGCAAGTTTACAGAAGCAAAAGCGAGGTTATTGGAATGAGGCGGGGGGGGGGGCATAAATGGTTTCCTCTCTCAGCATGGATCCTGTTTTGCAGTCAACCTGCTTTGTTGATGTCCTATCTTATTGACATCCTGCCTTGCAGTCTTCCTATCTCATAGACATCCTGCTCTCTCAAGCACATGGGATGTTCTTATGAGAGCAGGCTGGCTGCTGATCCGGAGAATTTTTTTTAAGCAAACAGGACGTTCCCCCGGGAGCATGCTAGCTGCGGGTTTTGAGGAGGGGGTCTATAGGGTCTTTCATTTCCCCCTTTTTCTTTTTATTATTGAGTTAAGTCTTTTACTCAAAGCAATTACAGAACCTCGGTTTCTTGTTGTGGTAACATGTGATACTGATGGGTCAGTACTAGGGCCTGAATGACTGACAGCCTGTTTTTTATAAACTGGACCAGGCGGTTTAAAATGCAAGGGCCGATTGTAAAGATGAGAAGTAAAATAAGTAGGGGGCCCAGCTATAGTGGAAATTAAGGTTTTTAACCATGGCGATTTATTAAACCATAAACAGCTTTTGTCTCTGCTTTAATCTTTCTCTAAGTTTGGTCATGGATCTTCTAACCAATCCAGTATGGTCAACATAAAAGTAACATTTTTCCCTGAGTGTAGCACAAAGACTCCCTTTTTCTAAAAACAACAGATCCAGGCCCCTCCTGTTATGGAGCACCACCTCTGAAAGATTTGCTCAGACAATAGCCACATGAAAACTAGTACAACTGATGGGACAAAATAACTCATACTTTACAGAGCAGTATTGGGAGAAGATAGTAGAACATCTCTAGGGTGTGCAGAATAGCTCTTAGCAAAATTATCTGAATGAGGCTTGAAAGTAACTACATGGTAGACATTATGAACCACTGTAGACCCAAGAATAGCACCCAACATTGTGGCAATAATAGTCTATTGACTACAAAGAGCTTAACTCAGCCCTAAGAAACACATGGATGCCTTCTCATAAGAGGCAAGTTCAGTATTATGAAGACAAATCTCTTTTTTTTTTTTTTTTTGCTTTTTCAAGACAGGGTTTCTCTGTGGTTTTGGAGCCTGTCCTGGCACTAGCTCTTGTAGACCAGGCTGGTCTCGAACTCACAGAGATCCGCCTGCCTCTGCCTCCCGAGTGCTGGGATTAAAGGCGTGCGCCACCACCGCCCGGCAAGACAAATCTCTTTTGCTGTAGACACCGGGAGTGTTGATCCTCAACTCCAGAGAATGTGCCGGAGAGGTCAGTTTTGGTCCAGCTGGCACCACATGGCATTTACAGGTTTCCATTGCATCCCGTAGCATCAGCTTTATCCAAATGTACAGGGTTGTGTCCATTGTGAGAACTTTAACAAACAATGAGAGAAAATGCAATACAGGATGACAAATGTTTAAAACAAAACAAAAAGCCCTAAAGCCAGAGGACAGCCAATGAGGACATAAATATCTTTTTTTGAGACTGACCTTACCCAGGCTTTACATTTGTAAGTACAGCATTAAAAAAAGTTTTAACATCCCATTGACATCTATTTTATCATATACTAAACCACATCTGTTTATCTTTTGAAAGCCATATCATTTCATAACCCCACAGATTAAAGAAAGATTTTCCTGTAGAAAAACAAAACCTGTCAAGAGGTAAGGAAGCTTTAGGTGTGTTTGCTTTTCTCTGCAGTTATCTGCACAAAACGGTCTGATCTGGAAAAATCTCAAACTGTACAAAATAATTCCTGTCAATAGGTCCCAGACACACAGTGGAGGAACAGAACAGAATTGCCTTTTGCTTCTGCTGTCTGATATTGTGCTTCAAAAGACACTAAAAAATGATCAGAGCCCTGTGGGTTTCTGACTCTAGGAAAGAAGAGCCTTAAAGGTGATGTAAGCCCACCTTATAGCAGATGTGCCTGCCCTGTGTAAGCCTTGAGCTCAGGATTTCATCACCTTCCTGCTCCCTGTGGTGGCCCTCTTTGTGTTTGTTAAGGCACGGACACCTTAGGACAACAACCCCTGCATTGTCCTCACTGCCAAAGGGGGTTTGATCTTTGCCCACCCACCCAGGGTCAGTTCTACAGCCGACAACCTTCCCACTGCGTGTTCACATCTGGTTTTGGTCTACTTGTCCCATCAGCCTGTGAAATAATTTACAGGGAGAGGGCTGCCCGTAAGCTTTAGTGAAGCCCAGGCTCCACCTAAATCACTCCTCTGTCCAGTTCAGAAGCAGGCGCTTCCTGTTTCCAAGCCTTGGCCTCCGGTGGCCAGCCTGATCCAGCGCAGCCTATTCAGGTCCACTGAGGGACAGAGTGGAGGCAACCGTCATGTCGGGAGCACCTGTCAGTGTCTCGTTCTTTCTCCATGTGCTCCTAGGTCACCAGGCAGGGTCCTAACCGCCACAGCCCCACACTGCTGAAGTGCAAATTCATCCAACCTCAAGGATGTTTGACATCCTTCATTGAAATCATAAACGCGGGCTGGAGAGATGGCTCAGAGGTTAAGAGCACTGACTGCTTGCTCTTCCAGAGGATTCCGAGTTCAATTCCCAGCAACCACATGGTGGCTCATAACCATCTATGATGTGATACAGCACCCTCTTCTGACATGCAGGTGTACATGCAGGCAGATACTGTATACATAATAAATAAATAAACCTTAAAAAATCGTAAATGTGGCTATCCCTTCCAGTCTCTATCTGGAAACCAAGCCTGCAGGTTCACTCGCATGTGTAAAATAACACATCTAAAGCTATTGACTGTAACACTCTGTGAGAGCAGAACATAAACAGCAAAAACCAAAAACAGTGGGGCCTGGTGGAGTTTAAGTACCTGATGGATACGTTCCACAGAGTTCTTCATGTGCTGACTTATTTGAATTAATTCTAAGACATGTAGAGAAGTAAGAAAAAAGATTTGCAGAAAAATATGCATTTGAGCAACAATATGTATGTATAAGGCTGAGTGTGTGGCTCAGTAGTAAAATACATGTTTAGTGTATGTAAGATCCTGGTGTGATCCCAGCAACACACACACACACACACACAATTTGTTTTATGTATGCAGTCCCTCTAAAAAGGAAGCCAAGAAATTAATGCCATTAGGACTGGCAAGAATGCTCAGTGGTAAAGGCACCACCAAACCAGCTAATCTGAGTGTGAGCCTCATGACACATACTGGAAAGAGATAACTCTCACAAGTTGTTCCCTGACCTCCACACACGCACCATGGCATGTGCCTCCACTACCACTAAAACCAAATAAATACAATTTTTTAAAAAAGGAATTTATACTATTAGTTGCTGCTGTGGAATGTCCTTCTGGACGCTGTGAAAATATGTTGATTTTATTGGTTGATGAATAAGGTGGCTTTGGTCTATAGCAAGGCAGGAAAGTCAAACTGAATACAGGCAGAAAGAAGGGCGGAGTCGAGAGAAAGACACGAGCGGGTAGTCCGAGAAACAAAATGCCAGCAGACCGGTAAAAGCCACAGTCACATGGCAATACATAAATTAATAGAAATGGGTTAATTTAAAAGTAGGAGCTGGTTAACAACAAGCCTAAGCAACAGGCCAAACCGTTTGTAATTAATTTAAGCTTCTGTGTGATTATTTAGGGACTGGGCAGCCGGGAAGTGAAGGAGTTGCCTCCATTCATAAGTTGCCTTTGACAGGAAGGTAATCTTTGCCTTAGAAATCATGAATAAATAAATAAATCGTGTAATCTTTAATCTCAGGAATCACTTACCTTGTTTATTTTGGTTTGGTTTGGTCTCTTTTGTTGTTTTTCTCCCTACCTTCCAGCAATCAAATGACAGAGGCATGTGGATCTGTGAGTTCAAAGCCAGCCTCATCTACTCAGTGAATTCAGGCCAGCTAGGGCTAGAATATGAGGCCCTGTCTCAAAAAAAAGAAGAAAAAAAATTAATTTGAGTAATAATTTTGAATTATTTAATTAAATTACCTATCCAATCGATTTAAAAAAACCCTTATTACCAGATTCATGCCTATGTGTTTAAAGAATATTAATAATACCAGAAATCCCCAGGTGTGGTGAAATATATTTATAATCCCAGCAATTGGAAGATGGAGGCAAGAAGATCAAGAGTTCAAGGCCAGCTTCAGCTACACAGTGAGCATGGGTTCCTTGAAATCTAGTCACAAAAAAATGATGATGATAATGGTGATGGAGAAGGAGGAAATAAGGTCATGGGGTCAAAGGCTACTGTGCCGTGCGGCTGCAGCATCTCTATAGCTGTTGGACTCAGCGCTGCCCTCTGTACTACGTTCACTGGGAGGGAGAGGCTCCTGCCTAGTTCTGAGGTAGGGATCCTTTCCAAACTCTTCCTAGCAGTCCAGTTCCCCCTTCACATGGCAGTGCCAACACTGATACAGGGCCACCTTGTCAAGGCAACAGATTTAGCAGAGGTTCAAACGTGACGGCTCTAGCATGGATGCAGGTGCTTTCGGTTAGCTGGTTAGCAAGCACACACAGACACCTGTTGGTGTGGGCAGTATGTGGAAGAAAGAACCCTGCCCCCCCATTAAAATATGCTCAGTCTCACTCTAGTAACCTTAGACCACACCCTCTGCCAGCCAGGTGCAGCGGAAACAGGTAGATGCTCAAAATAGCCTGGCTCTGGGAGGAAGCGTCTGAAGACGGTGTGAGGACGCTAGTGCCAGTGCAACAACTTCCCCTAAGAATCCTCCAACAAACAAAGCAGTGTGTGCACAAGCTTGCTCACTGTGGCATTGTGTGCATGGCAGGACACTGAGAACCAACCCCCTCCACCCTGCCTAGTGTGCCGCCATTGCTAGAGAAGAGAAGCAGATTTCCTGGCTGATGTGCAGTGATTGGCTTCCAAGATCAATTGTAAAATATGTAGTCAACTCCCTTTGTTCTTGGGGGGGAGTAAACTATGTATTTGATTAAAAAAAATCAAAGCCAGGTGGTGGTGGTGCATGCCTTTAATCCCAGCACTCGGGAGGCAGAGGCAGGAGGATTTCTGTGAGTTCGAGACCAGCCTTGTCTACAAGAGCTAGTTCCAGGACAGGCTCCAAAGCTACAGAGAAACCCTGTCTCGAAAAACAAAACAAAACAAAAACAAAAACAACAACAACAAAAAAAAACGAGGAAGGGTAAGATAGAAATGACGTTGAGGCAGGTAAGAAAGGGAGGCGGATGCAAAGCCAAGCTTCTCTAAGTCTGTTTTATACAGTTTGGCTCTTGACCTGTGTTCAAGATGTTATATGAAGAGGCTTCTAGGACCTAAAATAAACAAAACAAACAAACATAAAGAACCCACGGATGTTGGGAAACCAGTCATATGCTTTGAAAAAATGTGGAGTGGGAAGGAGGGAGAAAATCTTCTGGAGCGGGATTTGGAATTGGAGATAGCAATGTGCCTATAAAGGGATCACCTTTGCTGAGGCGCAGCTTATCTGCAACATTACAGTTGTTGGTTTTTATTTGTTTGTTTGTTTGTTTGTTTTGATAGTGTTGAGATCAAGCCCAGAGTCTTGTGCAAACCTCTAAATTGGATTTTAAGTGCATATCTTTGATAAATGTACACACACACAACCATAACCACCAACCCCACGATGATCTAGAATATTCATTAGTCCAGAAAGCTTCTTACTTTTCTTTTTTTTTATATTTATTTATTATGTATACAATATTATGTCTGTGTGTATGTCTGCAGGCCAGAAGAGGGCACCAGACCTCATTACAGATAGATGGTTGTGAGCCACCATGTGGTTGCCGGGAACTGAACTCAGGACCTTTAGAAGAGCAGGCAATTCTCTTAACCACTGAGCCATCTCTCCAGCCTTTACTTTTCTTTGTATCTAAATCTTTTCCTCATCCTCTGCTGTTTGGTTTCTGTAACCAGAGCCATATCTTTTCTTTCCTAGAACTCACAAATACCACCATGAGCATGCCTGGTTCATCTCACTTTATAATATCTACAAGAGGGCTAGTGAGATGGCTGGGCAGATAAAGGCGCAAGCCAGGCAACCTGAATTTGATTCCTGGAACCACATAGGTGAGAACTCACTCCACAAAGCCGGCCTCTGACCTACACAAAGCCGGCCTCTGACCTACACAAAGCCGGCTTCTGACCTATATAAAGTTATTCTCTGACCTATACATGCATGCCCCCCAATAAAACTGTTTTAAAGATTTAAAAACTCGCAGTCTCCATGAGACTCAGCCACGCTGTTGTGTGCCAGGCCCTTCACTGTGTGTGGAGTGGGGAGCGGCAAGAAGGGAGAAGGGGCATCAGCCAGAAGAGGAGGCTTGTAAAAATAAAGTAAACCAAAGTGGAGGAAAAGAGAGAAAAGGAGACGGGGAGGGAGGTTCAGGCCACTCTGTCCCTCCCCCACCCCCAGCCGGGACCAGAAGTCAGTAATGCTCAGGAGTGAAGATCAGAAGGTAGAAAGGTTTGTGTTTTGCCAGCCAGGTAGCCGGAGAATGAGTGAGGCCTTTGTTACGCAGGCCTACTTTGGTAGGAAGGAATACTTGACTCCATCCTCATGGTCACAGGCCATAGGCCTGGGGGAGAGGTGGGTCACAAATGAGTCAAGCTGAACTCAATTAATTTTATGGCTGAGTAATAGTCCATCGTGTGAATAAGCCCAAATGAATTGGCCATTTATCAGCTGGTGGACATTTTCAATCATTTCTAGTTTTGGGCCCTGATGAATAAAGCTGTTATAAACAGGCATGTACAATTCTTAGTAAATGTCAAAAAATCAGATTACTGGGTTGTATATCATATGGGTATTTTATTTATTTACTTTTGAAGATGTATTTTATTTCACGTGTATGAATGCTTTGCCTGTGTGTACACTATGTGCACACCTGGGGTCCACGGAGACCAGAAAAGGCATCAGATCCCCTGGAGCTGGAGTTACAGAGGATTGTGAGCTGTCTGTGGCTGCTGGGAACCCAGCCCAGGTCCTCTACAAGAGCAGCTGGTGCTCCTCACCACTGAGTCATCTCTCCAGCCCATGCATATTTTACTTTAGAATAAACAGTAAATTCATCCCCCAAAATGAGTCTACCATTTTACATTTCCAACGGCATACAGGACAGTTTTGGGGGTGTAGGGCAGTAGTTCCTAGCATGTATGAAGTCTGAGCTCCATCCCAGTACTGAAGAGTGGGAGAGATTTGTGAGCCTTATATTCTAACCAACATTTGGTGGTGCCAACCTTTTAGGTTTCAGTCATTCTTTTAAAAAATGTTGCTGAGTGGTGGGTGATAATGCACACCCCTTTAATCCCAGCACGTGGAAGGCAGAGGCAGCCTGGTCTACAGAGTAAATTCCAGGCTACACAGAAAATTCCTATCTCGAAAAATCAAAATCAAAAATAAAATAAAAATGTCTTTATTGGGGCTGGACAGATGGCTCTGCAGCTAAGTTTACTGTTCTGTCAGAGAGTAGGTCATGACACATATGCGTGCAGGTGTGCGGTCAGAGGGCATGGCACATATGCGTGCAGGTGTGCGGTCAGAGGGCATGGCACATATGTGTGCAGGTGTACAGTCAGAGGGCAGGGCACATATGTGTGCAGGTGTGCAGTCAGAGGGCAGGGCAGGGCACATATGTGTGCAGGTGTGTGGTCAGAGGGCAGGGCAGGGCACATATGTGTGCAGGTGTGTGGTCAGAGGGCAGGGCAGGGCACATATGTGTGCAGGTGTGCAGTCAGAGGGCAGGGCAGGGCACATATGTGTGCAGGTGTGCGGTCAGAGGGCAGGGCAGGGCACATATGTGTGCAGGTGTGCGGTCAGAGGGCAGGGCACATATGTGTGCAGGTGTGCAGTCAGAGGGCAGGGCAGGGCACATATGTGTGCAGGTGTGCAGTCAAAGGGCAGGGCATGGCACATATGTGTGCAGGTGTGTGGTCAGAGGGCAGGGCATGATCATCTATGTGTGCAGGTGTGTAGTTAGAAGACATTGCAGAGGACAACTTTATGAAGTCAATTCTCCTTCTACCTTTTCGTGGTTTCTGGGGACTGAACTTAAGGATCCAGACTTGGCAGCAAGGATCTTTTCCCTCTGAGCCATCTCACCAGTCTTAAAATCCTTTTTACATCTTTTGAATTATTTACCCACTCCAAAAGAACAAGGATTTTCTCCTCTGTCTTTTTCTAGATATTTTGTGTTTTGGCATTCACATTTGGATCTAATATTAATTTCAGGTTAATTTTCAAGCTTTCATTTCTGATAATTGGTCATTTGTTTTTATCTTGCCTTTTTACATTTATTGTTAATATTATCAGTATATATTTTTTAGACAGGGTCTCACTATGTGTTACGGGAGGTCCTCCCACTCCTCCAGCCTATCGCCGCTGAGATACCAGCCCATTGGGGCGTGGTCTCTCCCTTTAAAAAAGCGGCCACTTTCCTCTCCTCTCTCTCTTCACTTTCTGCTCCGCCGGCGACTAGACTCCCTTCCTGGTTGCGCAGAGGGCTGATGGTGATCTGTAAGTTTTTTCCCCTTTAAATAAATACCACCCTATTAATCATAATTCCAAACTGGTGTGGCATTGTTTATGACTTACGCCTTCAGTTGGCACCCAACGTTTGGTTTTAGAACCTCTCCTTTCCCCGCTCGGCTGCCGGCCGCGAGTTCAGCTTGGCGGGAGCCCTCCCTTCCTCAGCCAGCGGCGGCATTGGCCTCCCCACGTGGATTTAAACTCCACAGGCCCGCGTAGTCTCTGCCGCGTGGTTTGCTCTTTTCTGAGTCGTTTTTAAATCTCCCTTGCAAGCACAGCTCTTAAGTGGCACGAACCAGAGCATGCGGTTGCTGAAAGCTGCAACCCCTCAGGGTGACTCTGTCACGTGGAGGCATAAGCGGCTTCCAGGTTGCTCTTCTCTACCCCTGGATTCTGGGT